TCACTATGGCTGCGCAATCTTTTCTATTTTGAAGCTGATACATTTATCTCTCATAAAATATCAAACATATTAATATTTTCCTCCAAGAAAAGTTTCGAATTTAATGGAACATTTACATGACCTATAAGAGTATAGTATATTTCAACTTCAATTTTCATAAATTGGCCAAAATTCGCCAATTCTAATGTTAACAGATATTAATTAATAAATGATTAAGGATTATAATAAACTAAGTCATTTTAGGGTTAACGAGGGTTAACTATTCAAAAAATGAATCCAAAAAATGAGTATTTTTCAGTTTTACGCTGACTTAGCTTTATAGTCGAACCAGTCAATCTTTAGACAAAATTATAATGAACACAGAAGTAATTTTAACACAAATATTTTACGGAATCCGTTCCTGAGATATACAAATAATAACATACCAAAAGCCCGAAAAAATCTAATCAGGGGAACATTGTTCATTATAAAGATATTTAATGGGTTAAAATCAAACGTTTTATTGCACAACTGCTCTGCTGGAAGCGTATAAATGCATGTCGTTGCCAAGTTGTTGCTAACGAAAAAATGTGAATTATAGGGTAATACGCCCGCGCGCGATCCAAAAGCGGGGAACACATAGGTTTGTGGCGTCAAAGGGATCTGTTGCCGAGTGATCTCCTTCTCAATAATACCTCCATGATATAAATAGATTAGTAGTACAGTTTTATTTTAACCAGTATTTATGAAATACGGTATTTCATCGGTAAATAATAGGTGATTTTATAATAATAAAAAAATAAATAAAAATTAAAAAAAAATATGAGCTTTAGCTTTTACAACGTTTTTTGTTAATAAAAAAATACATATAATAATTTCATTACTTAGTCAATATCATAAAAATGTTATTGAAAAGGTGTACACTTTACTGTGTAACAGGCGATTCCCCGTATTAGTCCTTTTCATCATTATGTAAAATATAGGCCTATGTATCGTAAGATTGTTGAATTCGACTTAGCAAACATAATTCAAGACCTACTACTTTTTATGTCAAACCATAAGAGAAAAAACATTATTAAGCAAAACCTGGCATTAGAAACGTATACTCACAAAACAGTCCTCAGAAGTACCTACGTCGTCTTATTTTCCTTCTCTGTAATACATTATTTGTACGTTTTCAGTTCCGGGTTTAAGTTAATGAGGGCGGTATAGCTATCTAATGTCAGACAGATTCCTGAAGATATAGAAATGTCGATTCCTATCCTTATTATTCAGAGCAACGTTCATTGATTGACATTTAATAATAATTCAAATATAGGGATACAATTATTAAGTATAAATATAAATAGAATAAGGACTATTTCAGGAATCAAAATTAGAAGATATCACCTTGTCGCATTCATTAATATCTGTCTCTTATACACATCTAGATGTGTATAAGAGACAGGGTACTTGATTTTCAACATGCTATATAATAAGTTTTTTACAAGAAATAATTTCAGTTTCCTGATTCATTCCACAACTTTAACCCATAATACGTAAAGAAAATTTAGTTTTTTTTCTTCAAGTTTTGTAAAAGAAACTTCCAATCTCTTTTGTATTTCTAAAATGGTATGTATAGGTTGCTTTACGTTTACAGAAAATATTCGAAATTAAAATCGGTAATAATTATTGTTTACAAATTGATACATAGATAGAGATAACACCTGTAAGATATGTAGGTCATAAATATTCCAAAATTTGAATTTTTTATATAAAGCTTCATTATGAGCTAAAAAAAATGCTTTGTTATTTAATTAAATTATCATTGCTTCTGTTGGTTCGAGCATGGTCCTCCATGGTTCGAGCTGGGTTGATTGTTCATGGGTAATCCCGATATGAATTAGAGTCATTATTTGTTTTTAGATTTTTTACGCATGAGTAGAGAAATGTCTGGAAGTAGTTTGGTTTAACGGTGTCAGGTTTTTTTTTTTAATCCTCCAGGCATTTCCCGATCAAACTGAACACAATTTTACGAATAACAAATTTCAATATAGGGATGCTAGACTTGATGATGCACATCCCATATTCTGCAGTAATGTCTATATGTATTGAAGGCCAGAGTAATCTCCCTCTGACGTTCACCACAGAGGTTCACTCAAACTAAAATATATCCAGACATTTATAGAAACATGCACAATCAAGTAAACATGATCAATTGAACTATGCAGTAGACACATAGAAGATACAAGCCATTAAAATCAGATAGCACAATCAAGAGATCGATTTGATATGGAAAAGTAAAAATAGATAAGCCATAACATTGCAGAGTATGATATATGGCTATGTGTAAAATCCTTGAACAATATAGATGGTCTTAAAATTGAGATAATATAGATAAACTTGACTAAAACCAATTCAAATTCCATTATCAGTTAGATACACACAATATAAAACATATAAAATAAACTTGGTTAGGTGGAACACATACGGTACTGATGCAAGTAAGGAATCCCATCTGTGAAGAGAGAATTGAATTTAAATTTCGAAGAAATAGAAAAGCCTTGATACCAGTAAGAAATAATTTAGTTTTCTTCATAAATCCCACTAAATAATCTAGATAATGCTTAGGAAATATCTCGTTACCAGAACTTAAATATTGCACTAAGCTTTAAAATAATTAATAATATAATATTAATAATAATAATAATAATAATAATAATAATAATTAACAATAGATAAAAAAGAGTAGCTTAAAAATACATTATCGCATTATAACACCTAAAATCATTCACAAAAGAGATCAAGTAAATTATGCAAAATCCATGTGAGAAATAATAAACAAACATATTACAAATCTAATAATTGACTGGCTTTATATAAATCTTACCTATAGAAGATCTAAATGATTACATCCATATATCTTATCTTTGGATACAAAAAAATGTTTTTGTTTCTTTGTTAAATGAATTCAATTGAAATTGCGGTTTCTTTGTTACTTACTAATAACAGATGCTCAAAAGATTAAAACAGTTGAAGGTATGAATTAAGAATACAATAGAGAGTTTACCAGGTATATTTTGAAGTTAATTTGAACTTGTTTGCTCTCTTCACAAACAAGTTATGCCATTTCCAGATGCATTACTTTTTTGTGTTGACAACATAACTACAACATTGAACATTTTATATAATTTACACGCTCTTCTTATGCTGCTTATTTGTTTTAATCTTAGCGATTTACATACATTCCTTAATCAAAAGTTAATGCAATTGTAAAAAGTGTTAACGATTGCAAACTTTTTGATTAATTGAACTTTTCACATGCTCACCATAACGTTAAAGTGTATGGTACAACATTATTAGGTGATGATGCATTAGTTTCCGCATGATTTCAGCAAAACTTAGGTCTATATATCATGGTATCTGCATTGTTAACTCTAAAAATTACAAGTAATAGCAGTGAAACACTGAATTAGAGCTTGCTTTACATATTAAAATGAATATAATATAAAAATAAATTCGAACAATACAAATTGCAAAAACGTATGCCATATAATTTTTAAACAAAATACATATCAAACTAAGTAATATCTAAGATCAAGATGGCCACGCATAAACATTGGGGGAAAATTAATATGTAATATAATATATATAACTAAATATAATTTAAGGGTCTCTCAAATCAAGGTAGCAGGGGTGGCGCCAGGATTTGCCCGACGGGAGGGCCGATGCCCCGACGAGGGGTCAGATTTCCCCGACGAAACCAAAGTGGGCGTGGTCGAGCTTGGATTAAAAAGTTTTCTTCCCGACGAATTGTGCTTTTTTTCCCCGACGGGGATGGCGCCACCCCTGCAAGGTAGTTGCCTAAAATTTTGAAGAAACATGCTATTATCCCCATTTGTTTATTAGTTTGATCAGGAGCAGTAATATAGATTGGTATAAACATTATTCCTTTGTCTCATAGTGTAATATTAATTAGGTACGATAAGGCCTAAAATATTGCTTGTTCGCCCTCTTTCCCAACAAAAAATCTGGAAAATGTTTGTAATTTATCTTGTAATTATTGTTTACACTCTTTTTCATATGCCCAATAAAAGGAAAACACTTGTTTAAGGTACTATTTCTAACATATTAGAATAGTGAATACTTTTTATCTGTTTTCCTTTTAATAAGAATAGACCGAAGTTGTCAACTTGTTTTGGTGTTTAAATAAGCCTCGGAATAAAATATTTTACAGTATCACAGTAACATCGATACTAGGTTTCTGTTGAAAAAGTGCTGTGCTCAAGAGCAAAAGCGAAAAGGACATCGAGGAACTGAAACACCGAATTGGTACAACAAATCGTTAAAACTGTGACAGACGACTTTATGAAGATGAAATTTAAGTAGTAAACGAACTACTAGAAAAGTAAATTTGTAACCTACTTTAAACGCAATCAATATTTATAATTTCCCAAGCGCATTTACTAATTCAGTAAAAGAGATATCCTGTCAGTCCAGTTTTGTGCTATTTCCTTGGTTGTATGTGTTCACCAAAGAAAATAATTAAAATTAAGACAGAATTGTTTCACTTAAAGAAAATCATTCGTTCAGATAGGCCTAATACGACGCTTGAATACAAGGAAAATTGATTACTAAAGATGTCACATCCCCTGCATGCAAATTTTCTAATTTTTAACAAATCCGGTAGTAGGTAGGCCTATTCGTTATCGTGTATTAATAACCAACCGTTACCGTTAGTAGGTACGATATGCATAATCGATGATTGAACCATCATACAATTTAATGGCGCTGTAAATATTGCTTAGAAGAGCCAAATTCATGATCATGACAAAGGTCTAGGTCACGGAAAATCGAAAACCATATTAGTAGAGTTATGCTGATCTAGCAAGTTCTAAATATATACTATTACAGTTTTTCAATTTATGTCTGTATCTAGAAAACAAATTTTATTTCTAATTTGTTTACACTGTGGAGGATGACAATACATATTTTGTAATCCAATTGAAGAGACTTATTTTTACCCACACCGGTGCACCGACAATCATGGTGTGTAATGATGCATGTAGTGTAACAAAGCAATAATTATATGGTGTGTATTTGAAACTTCCAAAAAACCAATCAGTCGGAAAGAAAACGTTCTTGCTTGCTGTTTTTGCAAGTATTTTCAGAACAGGTCTTTTCCAGGTAAGATTTTGTTACACGAATTTTAATAATAGTGTTTAAAGATAACTTGTCAAAATCAATTGGTTGGTGGTCCTTTTTTATATTTACACCCTTTCTTATGGTACTCCCCGCTTTCTTAAATGCTCCCCAAAAACTTCCGGGTTGAGTTGTAACTAGTAGGTGGACCCTTAGGATTTTAATGGTGGCTGAGTAGTGTCTGTATTGATTGTAGTACAGTAGGCTTAATTGGTGGTGCTGTTATTAAATTTTGCGGTGGTAAAGAGGTAGTGTAGTGTGGCAGTTGTAGTAGTGTTGCTGGAGTTGTTGTTGCGAGGTAGTGTTGGTGGTGGTAGAAGTGGCATCGCCACAGATAATTGTTTATTTTTTTTTCATCTTGTACGTCACTGTTGATTGGTGGCGCTAGATAATAATAATAATAATAATAATAATAATAATAATTTATTAGGAACTAGACTTTTTCATCAGTGCAGGAGGTGCTTCCAAACCAATACAGCAACTTTTACATCAACTTAAATTTAAAAAAAAAAAACAGTTCAAATTTCAAAAGAAAAAAAAAGTATGCTAAATATAAAGTAAACATAAAAGAGGTTACGTCAACTTTCATTAAATGTGAATGTAAAATTTTGAAGCAAAAGAAAATAATGTAGATTAACACACATACACAAATATAGTAAAAATACACAAACATATGCATGAGATACACGTGTATATGTCTGTATGCCTATACTCGCATACACATACGAATATACACAAAGACCCACCTATCATATGAAACACGCATAAATCCTGAAACACACAATTATACACAATAAAGTTATCAAATCAAAAGTGCAAAAAGTCATACAGAACATTTTTTTTAATTTCTTGAAAGAACACACATTAATTTCTGATCAGTTGTTGATTTAAGAATTGGTTCCAAATAATATTTTTATCTATAAGTTAACATTTAAGCTTTGCTAGTCCTTCGAATCAGATAAAGTGGAGGGAAAGACATTAACAAAGTCTTATATCCTCCATAGAATCAGAGTTAAAGATAGTTCAAATGCCATCATGGATCAACTTGATATTTGTTAGTCCAAAGAGGAATTAAAATTGTATTCAAGCACACTTAAAATCTATAGTTTAAGTTTTCAAAGGGCTTTCCTCAATAATTGAGTAATCTGGACGGAAAATATTTAATCAAGATTACTTCTCTAATCAATACAACCTTGTTCTTTACGTTTATGTAAAATAGAGAATCTTTATAATTTTGCTCATTCACATTTTGAAAAAAAAAGCATTGGAACCACATTTAAGGAATTTAGAACATTTCTAAAATTTACAATCCATTTGCTATAAAGCCTTTAGATTTGGCCACCGATGTGATTCCATATGTATAATACTAAGAATATAACGTGCCATCTGCAATTCTAATATTTCTAGTTTATCAATATCAGATTTATTTTGAGAACATCATAACAATAATCAATTGACGGAGACCAATAGTTTTTCATAAAGTATCTTCACAGCATGTCATTCTTGTGGGCAAAACCATACTCTTGGATTAGATGCCGACTTAAATTTTTAGGCAAGATTTATGGAACTGTTTTTTTCGAGAGAGTTTTGCACTACATTCACAAGCTTACATCCTTTGATGTATATAATATTCAGGATGCAGTTATATTCGACGTTGGATGACTAGATTGATCAACATGTGTTTGCCTGCTTTTAGCTTGTGTCGGTGTTACACAAACTGTGTAGTTAGTAACCTCTGTATGGAACAATATATTTTGGACAATTCCAATCAGATACTGTTTTGTCAAGCCTGTGGTGAAATCAATTGTGTTTTAGGTTGTTATTCTCTAGAAAAAGCAACAATGCATTTTAATAATTAAAAAAAATGCTGCTGCGCCTGAATCAGTTATCTTCGATTAGGTCTATATCATATTTCTTAACACCAAACTCATAAAATGGGTTTTGAATTTCAGCCTAATTATAAAGTACATTTGAATAATAATAATATAGAACCGCTTTTAAGGGGACACCTTCGGGACCAAAAAATGTGTCGCCTTATAAAGTACATTTTCTATTCATAATATAGAGATACATTAGAACCCCTATTCTGGGGACAGCAAACATTTTAACATTTCGTACCGGCTAACACAATATAAACAGTTCTCAGTGGCTATTGAAATATAAAATATATACATACCGACTTGACTTCACAATCACCTGGCGTCTCTGGTTTGTGCCAGTCCGCCCCAGAACAGGCACCATAATTGCACTTTAAAGGATCATTGTTCTATCTATTCTGGCTATTCCTTGAACCTTCTTTGATGCCCTCTCAGAAAATCCTTCAGATTCTGATTCTCATTTTACTTTATATCAAGCTGTAATGGAAAGTTGAAGAAGATATTACTGTTATTGGAAAACGAATTCACACTTGCGTTCTTACCTTACCATGCAACTATTAAAGTGTAATTTCTTTTCATTCATTCATTCAAGGTACAGTATTCAACATTTTTTATAATCATGGCCAATATTGTGGTAGTATTTGGAGCAACAGGAATGCAGGGAGGCTCAGTGGCAAAACGATTACATCAAGATCCTAGCTAAAATGTATTGTAGGCAGCGGTAGATCCAGATTTTTGTTTTCGAAACATGTGGTTCGAATTTCTCAGAATATAGTAGAGTGTAGCGTACTACCATGGGATTGATAACACGTGGTGCATGTCCCTTTAGAAAAACTCAGACTTAGAATTCTGAAAGATGCTAAATGACTAAAACTTTGTGCAAAGTTAAGGTTCTTGGTGATATATTTTACTATTTTAAAAAAATGAACAGTGTATGGAAGACTCTCTGGAAATATGTTTGCTCATGAACTTGGAAATGTCCTAGTTTAATCTGGTAATGACTATTTCTTTATATTTTGTGTTTCTATACATAACAAACATGCACGTCAACAACATAAATGAACAGACAGGGAAAATGTGGTCAAAAGAATGGTGGCCCAACAAAATGGCCTTACCCAGTTTTGCATCAGGCTTTACTAACACGTTTTTAAAAATGGGTCCAAAATATGGAATTTTATCCATAAAATGGGTCCACTTTTTGAAAAATAGGTCCAGATTTCTTATATTTAGCTAAAAATGGGTAAAATTTAAGATTTTTTATATTTTTGCGTAAAATGGTCCACATTGTTTGAATTTACGCAAAGTGGGTCCACAATAATATTGTCCCACAGTTTAAAAATCCTGGCCACGGCATCATTTTGTTTATAACTACCATGTTCTTTACCACAATACGAGCAGATCAAGAACTTTAATTAAACGCAGGTAAGTTTGCGCTGGACTTTTTTCATTTTATGTTTTACTTCATTTTGTTTTAAATTTTAAAGTTCATTGAAATCCACATTTGTTTAAAACGTTCTTTTTAAAATTAAACTAAAGGTTCGTGCAGTAACCAGGAATGTTGGCAGTGACAAAGCAATGGCACTGGCTGCAAAGGGCATTGAGATAGCACAGGCTGACCTAGATGACCGCCAAAGTCTTGCTGATGTACTTGACGGAGCTTACGCTTGCTTCATTGTCACCGACACGCAATTCAAACGAACTGACTGTGGAGAATATGAATACAGTCAAGGTGAGAACGTCGCCGACATCTGTATGGTCAAGAAGGTCCGACACGTTGTCTTCTGCTCACAGTTGAATGCATTTGATGGCATGGGGTTGCAGGTCAAACATTACGATGCTAAATCACGCATTGAGGACTTCATGAAAGAGAGGGCACTACCATTAACAACCATTATGATTTCTTGTTACTATGGACATTTTCTCACTTGGTTGAAACCACAGAAATATGGTGACCATATGTATAAAATTGGTAAGTACTTCTATGCGTTGATGATTAGTTTGAATTAATAATGGTAAAAACAGCAAGATTAATAGAAAATTACTTGAGGTGTTTCAAATAAATAGGTTTTAAGGTGGAGTTTCAAAAGTGAAAGGGATTCCACAGACTGTACAGATTCTGAAAGGTCATTCCAGATCTTTGGAAAGAGAACACTTTAAAAACTCAGTGGTTGTGCATTTGATGTTCTTCAAGAATGTGTTTGCCCAATGAGCGCAGATTTGCTACAAAATTGTAGCATCATATAATTAGGCCTACTCTTATAATAAATGTAGGCAAGTTTGATAATTAAAAACATCTATTTCATACAGTAATCTATTTCATACAGTAAGCTTCTTTTGTGAGGTTGGAGAAAACTTCTATCCGTGTAAACAAAACCGAATTGCATTTTATTTTTTTTAAATAATATTACAAATAATAATAATAATAATAATAATAATAAATAGCAATTATATTACGCGCGGTCGATAGACCACAACACACACGGTCTTGTTTTTCAAAGTGATTTTGGATGAAACACTATTTTGCAGAAACACATGCGTGATGCGTGATAATAAATTTGTCAAACATTTAGCACGATAACGAATTATCTCGAATTAAGGAGAAAATGTATTTAAAACTCCAACTGAAAATGCCCAGATCGTCCGAGCGCAAGGCCTTGCTCCTGGTTCCCCACCGGGGCTCTGCCTCGGATCCTTGTGGCCACTTTCCCCCACCGAACCTGTGTAGTCACGCATTTCAAATCTCTCGGGTTGGTAACTATGCAGTTGTATAATTGAAAATATTGTCATTCTGTTGCTGCTCTCTACCTGACTCATGCTGTCCAGGGGTGTTGTCGGGATTTGCCCGACGGGGGCGGCGAGGTCCCCGACGGGGCCGATGCCCCCGACGAAGAGTCGAAAGCAAAGCGGGAGTGATGGAGCTTCAATTAAAAGGCTTTGAAAGTGGTCCAGTGGTCCACGCCAGGAAAATTTGAAAATTTACGGGTTCAGAAGGCTTATTTAATGGATTTTATAGTCTACTAATATGTAGAAAATACATGTATTTTTCTTCTCCCCGACGAATTGCGCTTTTTCTCCCGGCGGGATGGGGAAGGGGATGGCCCCCGGCCTCCCGCTGGCGCCACCCCTGATGCTATCTTGGCCGATTTACTCAGAAATAATCTCGGGATTAAATTTGGTAATTTAACCAATAACACGTAGGCCTACTCTGGTGTTCTTCATATTTATACGTTATAATGTTGCTGTTTTGTATTCATCCCTTTTTTTTTTTAAGAACAATAAATAAGTATTTATAACGTGATTTCCAACTAAATAACATTACAAACATTGCTGCGTGTTTGTATAATGTTATTTTCTGACATAACCAACCACAATTTTCCTACTGTAGATTATGAGAAATCATAAATGGTTCAAACAATATTCCAGAACACTTCAGGACATAAAAGGACCATTTTAAAATAGTTTGTACGTGAACGCATCTTTCTCACATCAAATGAGATAACGGAACACAGAAAACAAATTATTATTATGGAATATTTCAATTGTCCATTGGGGCGGAAATGCTTCTGCCAAAATAAGTTTGGTGCTTGATTCACACTATCAACACTTCAAAAAAGCTTCTGACTATGTGAGAATTACTGTCTAAGAACAGATGTTGGCCAGCCAGCCTTATGCTTGCTGGTTTTGAGTTTCAACCAAATTTCTCAGAAATGGCTGAGGTCCAGCTTCTTCCATTTCGTTGAGAAATGGTCATAAAATAAAAAAATCACCACAATCAACTTCATTTACTTTGCATGTTACCAACAGTAACATAAACCTTATCTTACTATAATGTGGTAAATAATAATAACTCTCTAATGCTGATCCCTTATCTTATATTTCAGCCATTCCAATGGGAAATATATCGCTGGATGTAATAAGTGTGGCACAGATAGGTGAAGCTGTCCGAAGTATCTTAAACAACAGAGCGCAGACACTCAACAGGAACTTCCTACTCTCTGGTGACAAGTTAACTATTGTAGAGATAGCTCGAACGTTTAGTAAGCATCTGAGACCTTACGAGTTTATTGATGCACAGGTAGGCCTATACTTGTCTCTTATACACATCTAGA